TGCAAGCTTAAAGTTTGTTCCAATCAACAAGCTTCAGGAAAGCGCTAGGAATTTCTCAGTCAAATCTAGTCTCATAAGTAGGTTAGCAGATCATATGATGAATTAGCGGACTGTTCTTCTGGTTGCAATTCTAGGGATCGCTCAGGATTTTCCCAGTTTGCAGTTTTTATCCAATGCTGGACCTGGCCTTCACTGACAAGCATATGAATTAGCTGATACAAGTTGGAGAAACCAGATTGAAAAGTTTGAATGACTATATTAAATTCATCAGCAAATCTGTGAGAATCTTTGGTTACTTTGGGAAAATCTTTGAATATGGCTCACAGTTCAGCAAATATAAGAAATTAAGGGTTTGGCTTCTGGATCCTCAGAAAGCTTAATTTTAAAGAGATCGGTTCTGATCAATTCAGAGGAAAAGGGAGTGAGGAGGATTTCAGAGAAAAAGGGAAGTTTGGTGAGAGAATTAGCAGGGGGCAACTGAGGGTATAGTGGAGGTGCAGGCAGAAAGGAAGGAAGGAGGAAGATGGTATGAAATGGGGCCTGAGCACTAGGGACTGAAGAAGACAGACGAGATGGCATCAGGCCCAGAATTTGAGACAAGCCAGGGAAGAAGAGCCAAGGCTTCCGGAGTCATTTTATCTTTCTTTGAATATTTGTTTGCCTCAGTTTATTTTAAAATCTTATTTTGCAGAGAGGCAATTTAAGGCTCCTGATAACATTTGGAAGTCTTAAAATATCAATTAAAATTCCAATTTCCATTCAGTTTTGGAAATTTAAAGCCTCAGTTACCCAATATGGTCTTAAGAGAATTAAGTTCAGGGATTTCAAAAGCTCTCCATACTGGACATTGATGTTTGAAGTTGTTTTGGGTTAGGTCTGTCCGTGCGGTTAGAAATGCACATGGATGAGGGCTGTGGTTTTCAAACATAAAATGGACCAGGGTCCCTGGAGGGGGGCCCCCTTAAAATATTGAGACAACTAGGAATTCTATTTCCTACAGAGTTTTCTCTAGAATAAACGAGTAATTTTCAAACAACAGCGCAAACAACCTGAATAGCCTGCAGGCGTAATACCAGCCAGTTCTAAGAGAATAGTCAGTCTGGTCCCACAAGAGGCAGGCCAAAAGCTGCTGAGGGCAGTTTCAATAGAACAACCCCTATTCCAAACAGAATTGGGCCAAAGGCTGAATCAGCACAGTTCCAATTAAATAGCTCCAGTTCCCAGAGGAATAGGCTAAAGGCTAAGTCAGTTTCAAGAAAAACAGCCCCTGTTCCAAAGAGAATCAGGGCAGAGGTTAGCACAGTTGGGACAGCCTGGTTTTAATATCAGGCCAAAGTTTCAAATGAGTATTTGCATACAGGACACAGCTTTAACGGAAAGGACAAAACCTTTAAATAAATCTTGAGTAAAACTTGGAGAGCTTCAAAATGCAAAGAGGGTGGAAGCTCAAACCCAGGAGAAAGACATACCCTCAAACTCCAGGGCTGGCCAGACAGCCGTGAGCAGCAGTGGGCCCAAAGTGGGAACCCCACCTGCTTGCTCACCAGCCCTGGAGTTGTCAAGGGTCTTCTCTGAACCCCCTTACAGGCCATCAAAATATTGCCCTTAAACAGAGTGCCAGTTATTTCTCCAGCAAAAGTGGGTTTGTTCAGTGTTGGGCCAACTAACATCCTTCAAAGTCCAAGGACCCCCATTCCTGGGCTCTCAGAAGTTTGCCTGCGATTCCTCAACAGATAAAGTACACTCTTTACTGGGCGTGTTTGCCCTAACAAACTAGTAGCCCTAGGCAATGTCTAATCTCACAATAGCCCAGGCTGGCTTGTTTCAGCACACCTTATCAGAGTCATATCCCACCACCTTTCCTAGGTAAAAGGACCCTAAACCTTTTACCTCACCTGCAACCAGTCAGAGACTTGTGCATAAGCCAATCAGGCACCTTGTGACCCAGCCTTATAAAAGACCCCAACAACCGGCCCTTGGTGCTCGCACAGGCACCTCTAGTCTGTGTGGCCCACTATTGTCTGTGACAGCGTACTCTTAATGAACTCCTTTTCTACTCTTATACTTTATCTCTGGTAAATTCTTTTACCAATCTGTGTGTCACCGGCTCACTGATTGGCTGCTCTGTTGCATCCCACAACATTCAGGATCAGCAAAGAATTGCATTTTGGGGTCTGCAACCATGGTGAGCCCTGCTCAAGCCCTCTCCCACAACAAGGAGAGGAGGGCTCTTTTAAAGAGGAGAAAAGGAAGTTGGGAAAACTATCAGAAATAAAGAATTCATTGGAGGGGTTGAGAATTTGAAGTATAGAGTGTTTTCATCGGCTGAGTTATGACCATTGCTCATTGGCTGAGCTCTTACCAGTCAAGAAGGAAAAGGTCTTTCTTCTTCCCGTTGGGCTCTGCGATTAACATAGGAAATGACAGATCCCCCTTCTGGTGTCCTGACTCTATTTTAATTGAGATTTACATTTATAACTTTTACCAAGGGAAGGGAAGCGAGGATTGGGTAGAATATGCAATTGCACTGCCTCAGCCAACCCCATGAAGAGTTCTGAAGCTAGGACAACTTTTTAGGGTTTCCTGAAGGAAGGCGAGGAGGGGGTTCTTACAGCTTATGTAGGTCAGGCACGGATGCAGGCTGCCCTGGGACGGGGGTGTGGCCCTGGGGGAGATAGCTCTCCTTGGCTGCTGTGCTCCCCAAAGGGGCTTGACAGTGGGGGTGTAAGCCTTTTATTTCTGCTGGGGGATCTAAGTAGCACTTCAAAGAGTCCATCACACAGACTTTCAGCCTCAAACCGATAGGCATTGCAGCACAGTCTCTGAAATCAAACGGTTACATTCAAAATTTATCTCCATCACTTACTTTCTCAACAGTTGTTCTGTGCCTCAGTTTCCTTGTCTGTAAAATGGGGATACTGGTGTTACTCCTTCACAGGCTGTTAAGATGATGAGCAAATATTTGTTAGGCATAAGGCACTTGGCAGAGTGACCAACACATAATAAACATTTCATAAGTATTTTAAAAGGAGACTAGAAATCCAATCATATTATGAATTTTGAATTGTAATTGAGTATTTTGGAGGATCCAGTGGAGGGGGTCCTATCACACAGTATAACAGTGTATTACTCAATAGATGTGTCTCCTTTGACAAGTCTCTCCTCTCAGATGCTCCAGGCAGCAGGTGATTTCCACTTTCTCCCTCCTTCCAGTGACTACACCCTCTGTTTTCTTCTTCATGATATGCAGAGTAGCTTTCTTCTTACCCTTAAACCTGGATCTCCCTGTGGCTTCCTCCTAACCTTTGTCTACACCACAAGGGCCAAATAGGTAAATATTTTAGGCCACACTGTGTTTGTTGCAACTACTCAACTGCCCTTGTAGTGTGAAAGAAGCCGAAGACAACTGTCAGTAAATGGTGTGAGTGTGTTTAAATAAAACCTCATTTACAAAAACAGAAGGAAGGCTGGGTTTTGCCCACAGACTATAGTTTGCCAACCCCTGTTCTACCCCTATTGTGATTTTAACAAACTCCTTCCTCGACAAGGCAGTCTTACCTTCTGGGAAAGTCCCACATCAGCTGCTAAGAAGCTATGTTTTCTATATCAGTATCCCTATGGTTACTATTTTTATTAACCCCAAGACCATTCGACTCCTAGACCAATGCCTTGTTAAGCTGAACCACACAACGGGAAGCTTCAATGAACTGTCTTCATCATCCATATTTTAGGATTCAGGAATATTAGAGATGGATGGGTCCTTGATATCAAACATTTCTTTTCACAGGTAAGAAAAGTATAAATGGAGGGATTTTATAGTTTTACAAAGGACACACCAACAGGAAATGACTGAGATGGAATTCAAAACCAGGCTTCCTAACTCTTAGCTGTCTATTCTCTCTAGTCCAGATTAGTAACCACACCTAATATTTTTGAGTATTTACCTTGCTGGAGAGGAAGAAATTTTCTTCTGCCCTTCTAGGTTCTTCTTACTGATCTAAGTATTTAATCAATATGAGACGAAAGAAAATCAAACAAAAGTTTAATCACGTATACGTGGGAAAGACCCAGGGAACTGAGTGATTTGCGAAAATGGCCAAAGCCCTCACCTTAAGTACCAACTTCAGCTAAATTTTGGCAAAAGAGAATGTTGGGGGTGGTGGTTTGGGACCTCAAAAGGGAGGAGAGCAATTCACATAGAGATGGGAAGGCACATGTTTGGTAAATAAATGTTTCCTGGGCCAGGCAGAGACAATGGGACACAGAACACACACTGATTTCTAGGCCCTGCCAAGTCTCCCCCACCTGACTAGCCTATGTTCTCTACAGATGTCTCTGATAATAGCTCTATTCTGGGAACATACCCTTTATCTAAGTTCTTTTAAGCAATTAAAGGGGAAGTAACAAGAAAAACTTCCCAAGTCTTCTGTTTCATAAAAATAATTAGCCTAAATTAATCTTCATGCCAAAAAGACACATTTTGGGCTGGCAAATTTTGTTCCCTGACAACCCCATGCCAAGAATTTAGTCTGGGTAATTGCACTTTTCATCACAATAACTCAACAAAGCTATTATCCTCCAGTGTATTTAGTGGGAAAATTGAGAAACCAATTTTCAGAAAAAAACAAGTGACCTGGCTGAAGCCAGAGTGGTAAAGGAAAGACTGGAGCTCGGAGTTGTCTGCTACGTCATGTTGCATTCACCATGCTGCTTCTTCCCCGTCCTAGGGAATGTCAGAGACCAGCTGACTAACCTTAATGTCAAGTTCTAGCCATTCTCTTCTTGTCCTTGTCCCAGAGCACTTTCTGAAGCTTCTTACTGCACGGGGGGTGGGGGTGGGGCTTCCTTGGGAGTTTTTCAGGCTCAGTCCTCACTCACGTGGAGTCTTCAGCCTCAAGAGTTTCCTCTCACCCTATAGCAGTTTCTCTGATTAAAAAAAAAGAAAAAAACAACCCCACCGGGGCACGAACAGCCCACTTTGGACTAATTTTTCCCAACAGATGGAGTTCGTCTTGCACCTGCCTAAAACCATCACAGGGAAGATAAACCGGGCGAAGCTTCGCAACGTGGAGTGGAAGAAGTCTGGGCAAGCTGGGGCCCAGTGAGACCTGCAGGAAGTTTTACTTTGGGTCCTTTCCTTCTTCCCATTTCATTTTCCTTTGGATCATCTGCCTTCCTCTAAGGATATCAGATTCTTTATGACAAGACGTGATCTAATTTTTGTCTTTCTTAGTTATTATTTCAAAATCTTGCCATGTTAGGTATTGAGAAAAGAAAAAGAGGGAAAGAATGAGTGAGAAGAAAGGAGAGAAGAGAGAAAAAAGAAAGAAAAATGAGAGATGCAAATACCAAAAGAAAAACTGAGAAAAAAAAAGAGGGAGGGAGGGATGGTGGGAAGGAGGCTGGGAGGAAAGATGGAAAGCATTAGAGGAAGGAAAAGAAATAGAAAAAGGATTAAAAAAAGAAGGAAAGGAGGAAAAGAAAAGAAAGAATACGATAAAATAGTAAGAGGAACTGATAATGAAAAATGATGGAAGACAGAAAGAATGAGAGAGATAGAAGGAAGGAAATATAATTACTCCCACAAGTGACAGAATCATGCAGAAAATTAGGTCTTAGAAAGGAAATGAAAGACCATGACACCCCATCGTACCCCTAGGATAAAAACTCTAGATGGAGAGACTTGTATGTGTAGTTGGGACATTAGAATCATCTTCAAGTCACTCCAAATTTGGGGGCAGTTATGACCAGAGATGGGGAAACCACCATTTATTGGGCATTTGCCACATGCAAAGCATTGTCCTAGGCATTTTATGAAGATTGTTGTGTTTTGTTTCTGCATGGCATCTACAAACTTCAGATCATAGCTGTGAGAACAGTGTAGGCACTTAGGCACCTCAAAAAGGTGCCCCTTCCCTTGTGGCTTAAGGGTTTTTTTGGCATGTACTCTTCCTAGAAAAAAATAATAAAATAATTTGTTAAATCAAGATCCTAAGGATTCTTTTTGGGGGAAACAAAGATGGGCAGAGTGATGTTGTTGAAGGATAAACCATGGAGTTAGTTCTTAGGGCCTCTGGGAGCCCAGAGCCAGGGATCCAGGAGAGAGAGGGATCTCTAGTAAGGACTATGCGAGCTTCCTCTCTGATCCAGAGATGGAAGGTGAACATTCCTAGCAGGTTCAAATGAGCTGGAGAAGAAAGCGAAGGCTCTCTGAGGGTCTATGAACTTTCATCTTAAGAATATTTAATAATAATAGCAACAATAATAAATATGTCAATCACTTATCAAGTACTTGTTAAGTGTCAGGTCCTATGGCAAAATACACATTCATTACCCCTCCTTAAAGTTCACAATCACTCTTCAATTCAGGTACTATTATTTCCTCCCATTTTACAGAGGAGGAAATTAAGACTTGGGGAGATTAAGTAATATGATCCAAAGTTACACAGCTGGGAAGTGACAGCATTAGGTTCAAGCTCAAGCCTATCTGCCTACAATGCCTATACCCCCCTTCCATTTGCTTGCCTTCTTCTTGGCCCTTGATAAAATGCTTCTCTCAAAATCATCTTTTAAAATATCCATGAGAGAGAGGTACAAGGTGGCAGCATAGGAAGACTCCTGAGCTCACCTCCTCCCAGGGACACACCAAATCTATACCTACATACAGAATAATTCTTCTTGAAGAAGCTTCAGGATGGATTGAATAACTACTGCACACAGAAGGACCACATAGGAATGGGTAGGAGATATGGAGACAATATCCATGGGAATCCCTCCCACATCACAGTGATCTGTGGTAGGAAGGGATATCGCTGAGGGGTCCAAATGCAGACTTGCTCACCCTGGGACACAGTGAAAAAATAGTTTAAAGAGTACTTCAGCTATACAGAAAATGTACCCATTTGCTAACCCTAGAGTTTCTGCCAAAAGGGCAGAGAACTGCTGGAGCCCTATCCAGGAGGTGCACCATTGTTTGAATGCTCCTAGAACTCCCTCTGGCCCATGCCTGCTCCACCTCCAGCAAGCAAGGAAGTCTTGACCCAAGAACTGCCCTTAGCCAGGATCTCCTCCAGCCCCAACCACCCCACCAAGGTGGTCTTGGGTGCAGTGCTCCCCAGAGCCTTTCCCTAGCCTAGGCCCATTGTAACTCCAGCTGGCCTGCCAAAGGTGTCAGGTACAAGCAGTCTATACAGGAGATGCTTCCTCAAAAGTTCACTCTGTCAAGACCACGGGAGTTACCTCTTTTGCCTAATTCATAGAAACAAAAGTCAGACAAAATGTGGAGACAAAAAAAAATGTTCCAAATGAAAGAACAAAATAAAATCCCAGAAAAAAAAAACCTTAATGAAACAGAGATGAGTAATTTACCTGATAAAGTGTTCAGAGAAATGGTTATAAGGATGCTTATTGAACTTAGGAGTGCGGGGGGCCACTCATAACCTGAGGACTGCCGAGCACAGAGGTTGGGCCTAAACTCCCACAGTGCAGGGCGTCAGGCTCTGAGGTTGATTCTAACAAAGACAATCTCTGTCCCGCCACCCCTTTGAAGAATGCACCAGGTGCATTAGAGCCTGAGGAACATCCTGAGCTATTAAGTCACTAAGGACCTTTGGAAGGAGAGATACAATCGACACACAAGTTAGTGATCTTAGCCTGAAGAACAATCACCTGAGTGAATAGTACACGAGTCACGATGTTAGCTTAGAGGAACAATACCTTAGTTTATGATCTTGGTTTCGGGAACAGTTAATCTTAGTTTATTGAGAACTGTAAACAATAATGATGTCTGTAACAATATACAAGTTAATGATTTTAGTACACGATGTTAATGTACCCTAAAACAATACCGTTGCCTACGTGCAGGAATGTATAAGCTAATGGGTTAAAATCATATAAATGAACTGCTGAAAATAAACTCGACGTCCACTCTTGACCTAGCGTCTTGCAGGCTAGAGTGAGACCCTCTCAACCCCACCTTTTAGTCTTGTCTTTCTTTTCTCAGTCCTGCAGCACAGGTTTCTGGACCTGATCGATTGTCGGCTGGCTCCGACATAGGAGAAATTGCAGAAACTTAGAACTTCAGCAAATACTCAGGCATGTGAGAAAGAACCAATCAGAACTCAAGAATACAATAAGTGAAATTTTAAAAAAATACACCATAGGAAATCAACAGCAGATTAGATGATACAACAGAATAGATAAGTGATCTAGAAGACAAAATAGCAGAAATCACCTGAACAGAACACTAAAAAGAAGATTTTTTTTTTAATGAGGAGAGTTTAAGGGATCTTGAGACAAACATGCCCACTCTCACCTCTTTTATTCAACATAATGTTGCAAGTCTTAATTCAAAAAGATATACACATCCTGTGTTCTTTGTAGCATTATTTACAATAGCCAAGACATAAGAGCAATCTAAGTGCATATTACAGATGAGTGGATACACACACACACACACACACACACACACACACACACACACACACACAGGAATATTACTCAGCCATAAAAAAGTACGAAATCTTACCACTGTGGCAACATGAATGAATATGGAGGGTATTATGCTAAGTGAAATAAGTCAGACAGAGATTAAAAAAAACCCATGACTTCACTTATATATGGAATCTAGAAAACAAAACAAATAAACAAACAAAACAAAAGAGAAACAGGCTAACAATACAGAGAACAAACTAGCAGTTGCCAGAGGGCATGAGGGTGGTGGGACCAACAAAACAGGTGAAGAGAATTAAGAGGTACAAAATTCCAGCTGTAAAATTGCTAAGCCACAGGGATACAATGTGCAGATAGGAAATACAGTCAAAATATTGTAACAACTTTGTATGGTGACAAATTAACTGGTCTTATTATGTTGACCACTTTATAACGTATAAAAATATCAATTCACTATGTCAGACATCTGAAGCTGATATAATATTGTATGTTAATTATAACTCAATAAAAATAAATTAAATATCCAACAGAATGTAAATATACTGTGATATACTCCTCTCCTGGAGTCCACTAAAATTCACCCGAGTTTTATGTTTGGCCTAGTAGAGAAATGCAATTTGCTAATCAAATAGCAACACTTTCTTTTTCACAATCTGGATTCATCACTGTTGAAGGGAATATCATTTAACTGATGCTTGCCAAGAATTTAAAATCTAGCAGATTGATCATTCTGACACTTTCACGTTAACTTTATCCTAGAGTGAGAATGCTTTTGATCATAACCCCTTACCTAGTGCCCAGTCCATGATCTCCTTACCTTCTCCAGAGTCAGGAATGAGTGAAGGTGGGAATCCATACTCTTAGGGGAAAATCTATGACTTACCCAAAGTACAAAATTTGTCTCTCCTTCCTTTACTCCATCCTTTCATCCATACGGTTTGTGTAAAGGAATCAAAATATTTGGCCAGTACCTTTCAGACTGGCTCACTGTAACTACGGGCATACCTCATTTTATTGACCTTCCCTTTATTGTGCTTCACAGATATTAGGCTTTTCACAAATTGAAGGGTTTTGGCATCCTTGCATTGTCAGATTATGGTTAAGGTATGCACATTTTAAAGACATACTGCTATCACACACTTAATAGACTATAGCATAGTGTAAACGTAACTTTTATATGCACTGTGAAACCAAAAAATTTGTATGACTTGCTTTATCGGGATATTCACTTTATTGCAGTGGTCTGGAACTGAACCTGCAATAGCTCCAAGGTAATCCTGTAAAATGAAGCCACCGACTCTTTTCTTTTTCATGATGAGATAAAATAGACTACCTCATCCTTCCTGTCTTTGTCTAGTAAAAGTCTTTAAGATACCCCGGTAGCACCCTAAACCAAGAAGTAATGATTGCCTAGTCCCTGTCACCCAGTACAGAACGTGCATAACTTCCCTGGACAATCATTAACTCTAGAAGATCCACAGACTAATTAACTTTTGTTTGTGTTGATGGCATAAGTTGACCCTGGATTGCTGCAATTATCTGTAGATAGAAGGAGGAACATACCCTTAAAAATAACAGTCACCTCACTTACATTCAGTATCATTTCAACATCAGGTACAAGTTGTGAAATGGCAGAAGGGGTGATCATCCTATCACATGATAAAAAGTTTGAACTTTATCTGGAGAGTGAGGAACACAGTCAACAATGTTTTCCTAAATGATTACCTTGGTAGCTGAGTGTTAAATATATCAAAGGACAATTTGAGAAATGCTTCTTTCTTTGTGAAACTTGGTAACTTAGTGACTAAGGTGGATGGGGTAAAAAGGGAAAGGAGGCACACAGAAGGATGATTTTTTATTAGGTTTTTTAGATTTTTGACTAGGTTTTTG